GGTGTGAGGCACGGGGGTGATGCTGGCAGGGGTTCAGGTATGAGGAATGGGGTCATGCAGGCGGTGGTTCAGGTATGAGGCATGGGGATGATGCTGGAGGTGGCTTGGGTGTAGTGGCAATGGCGATGGCAGCTGACATCATGAATGGGTGAATACAGCAGTGGCTACAAGTGGAGGGGTGGCATGAGGATGACTGCTGGTGATAGTGGCTGAAGGTGCAGTGCGGCACAGTGGTGTGAGCAAGCAGCATCTATCAACAGCAACAGCAAGGATTGCTGGCCTACAGGCAGTGTGGACAGTACCCAGCCGAGATGCTGGTGGTTGCAGATGCAGGAAGTGACACTAGGAGTGAGGGCAGTGATGGTGCTAGGCAGGAAGAGAGTTGTTGCTGAGGGCACAAGCTTATTATACTGGATAGGAGATGCAGGGTGTGTCATGAGCTAATGGTTGGGGGGTAACGGTCAGCAGCTGGGAGAAGAGGGAGTGAGCCACTGTAAGAGGGAGTTGTCCAGGCAGTGGTTACAGTGACTGCTAACACCATGAATAGGGTTCAGCTGTTAATTGCTGCCATAGGCTGGCTGCCAGGAGAGTGTAGCAGTCGCAGGAGGTTGGGTCTGGCTCAATGGGACTATTAATAGTAGCGTAGTAGCAAGGAGCTATACCTATACTGATTGTTGAAGCTTTTGTAATGATAGTGGTCTGTGTTTAAGCTAGGATTAGTGGTTTCTTATTTGAGGGAAGATTAATTAGTCTTGCTCCCCTTGTAAATTGTTCCTGCTCACTTGAAATGTGTAATCAACTCTCTGCTCCCCGCCCTCTCCTTTTTGTATATTCTGGGCAGCTTGCATAATCTAGTAAACCTGTTACTAATTATATTAGTCACCCCAATCCACAGTTCAGAGAACTGTGTGGTGTTGCCCTCCCAGGGAGAATTTCACAAATAAATCACTGAAGCTCACCTGATCTCAAGAACAGACTTTTGTCAAAATATTACCAATTACTGCTTGAAATGTTGACTCTATTTGTTTCTTTGTTCAGCACTAAGCACAGGACCGGATTGTCCATTTAGAGCGAAGCCCAGAGTTCTGAACTATGCATGTATTGGGGAATGGAGGAGCAGGATACAAGCCACCAGTTGTTTCTTAGAAAAACCTGTACAATAGTTATACAGATTGAAAGAGGAAATGGGTTTTCATTTATCTCTTTAGTCCTGTATTTTGAAATGAAAAGGCGAAATTTTGTAGAGCAGCTTGCTGGTGGTTTCAAAAGCTCCTGAAGTTACATGCTCAGTTCCAGAAGGATTGCATTACTTTGTAGGCCCCTTGGAAAATATCAGCCTTAAAATCAACACCTTGCCTTTCTTATTTAAAAAATGTTGATCAAGTAGAGACTTTAATAGAAGCTGAACTTTATTAATAACGGCAGGACACATACAAAGGACAAATCTACTGATCAGAGCTTAAACATTAAGGGGGCTCTGAGAGAGCAAAAGGATTTCTTCATACAGCGCAGTCACATAGTTGTAACATCATCACAAAGAGGTTCCACAGTGAAAATATTTTGAAGTGATACACAACTATGAACATGTTGATCTGTGCTCCTTCCCAGGATGCCAGGTCCCGGCTGGGATTCTGAAGTTTCCACTGTTAGAAACAGATCTGTCACTCAGAGAAAAAACAATAGCTGAGATAAGGCAATGGCTTACTAGCATCAGATTTAAAACAGCTGATCTTCTAATACAGCCATTTATCAAGCCCCAACAGAAAAAAGATTTCATGACATGCAGTTTACCTGGGGAGGTGAAATTGTTTTTAGATGAAATATTATGGAAGGGATTTTCAAAGGCAGTGATTTTTATTATCTTGTCCAACCCAAATTCTGCCCCACCAGGAATACCACCCTGCTATTGCTCCTACATACACCTTTTACCAAACAACTTCCTCCAAACACAGTTATTGAATCAGACATATACAGTGACTCAGGAGAAAAATATTGTCTCAGAGAGGGATATGGAGAAGCACTGGTTGAAGTTCCTGTTGTGGTCTGTGGTAGATGGTAGTGAAATGTATAGGTGGAGGAATAAAAGGTATGACGAGTTAGCTTACCTTTCTTTCCTTGCTTTTTTGGCTTTACGTCTTTTTCTTTTGTATGAGCTGTAATTGGGACAGAATCCATCCTGTTATCTGTAATGCTGCTTGTTTTACAGCACTAACTAGGAGGAACCCTGTTTTTATAGTAGTTGTCTGTGGTAGCATTCAAAGTTCACACGTATACGTAGGCACCTTGCTTGTCTCATGAAACAATAGATTTGCACTGAGTGAGGCATCAGCTCGTTGAACTTGTGCAACTGTGGCTGCAAAGCTGGAGTTACCTTGCCAGGGTGCAAAAGCTTGGGATAGTTTATATGGACACTGGTTTCCCTCTCTTCGCCTTGCTGGTTTAGTTCAAAGGAAAGGCAGATGCCAGTACATTTGGAGCCAGCTTGGTTGTAGGAGTAGCTGGAGCAGAGGACATCTTCTCTTTGTCTGTTTGTCAGGCTTCTACTCCTAGACTGGCTGCCAACCAGGGTTAAAGAGCCTAGTCTACCCTATTGTGGAGTGGACCCCAGTTCCACCATCTTCTGGGGCATTTCCTCTGCCAGGGGTAAGGCTAGTACCCTTCTCTAAGGTGCTTTTCTGCCTGAAGCTATTGACACCCTAGAGGTTGTCAGGTTATTTAACCGCTGCCCAACACTCGGCGTTAACAGTCTCAGGTACCATCTACTGCAAATTATGGTAGCAGGCGAACGTGACCTGACTATCGGAGCTCGCGCAGCTCAGAAATGTAATATTGAAATGAGACAGTAATATCTTCTACTCCATTGCAAAATCAGGCAGCCTGAATTTGATATCTGATTTTCTGAAATTTCATGTAATGATGAAGAATCTTCTTTAGGTGACTTCTTAGTGTGACTGTTTGGGGTTTTTTTTAAGTCTGTGCTGTCAGCCTAGTTACAGAATCCTGGTCATTGATTCCTGAGGTGTACAGTGCAATTGACAACACACTTAGGTGTGTTTATATACATCTCCCTTTTATTCCCAGCCATGACAATCAAAATGGATATCAGAGCTGCAGTGAATAACAAACACTCATAGTTTTAATAGAAGAGAGGGAAGGACAAGCAAAATACACACTAACAAGGGAGCTAGAAGGGGTCTGCTGAAGAGAAACGTGACACAAAACAAAAATGGTTAGCAAAGAAATGACTGACTGCTGGCTGGATCTGTGAGAATGTGAAATTCTACCCATGCTGAGGAATGCAATTACTAGCTGCTGACATAGATCCCTATGCAAGAACACAGCCCTATTCAGAACAGTATTTAAGTATTAAAAGTTAGTGGGACAAAAGCACATGCTTTAGTTAAGTGCCTCAACAGGGGGAGTCCTCTCTGGGTGTTTTAAGGTCTTTCTTGAATTCCCCACCTGATCTGGAAAGCATTTCCAGGTAAGCCTAGTGGTTGGCATCATCATTTGTCCTGTTAAGGTCAGTGCAGCAAAGCATTACGCTCATCAGAGTAGGTTTGTAGAGTCCTGCAATTATTTATATATTATTGATGATATATTATTGATGTATTTGATTAGTGGGAGCTCTCTGCACTGAGAGCTGACATAAGCAGGCCCGTTACCTGATTAAAAAAGTATGCCATTAAAATGCCTCCCAGTATTTATAATATTTTATATTTATTTCAATATTTATATTTGCATGTTATATGTATATTTTGTACTTATATTATTTAAATTAATATAAAATATCGAAATGTAAATATAAAACATGTGTGTGCATTTATTTAATGTTTGGGGCACCTTTTCTAGCCCCTTCCTCGGGGGAGGGGAGCAGGGTGGTCTTGAGTAGGGCTGCTCAGTCACTCGGGGTTGCCGAGTTCTACTGCTGCTTCTGTCCAGTAGAAAGGAACCCAAAGCCCTAAGCTGCCTGTGTGCCAAGTGCAACCTGTGCCTGGCACAACACCCCAGGAACCACACATCTCAGTTCAAGGCCAACAACTGTTGATGCTCAACAATTTTGCCTATCTAGGCAGCACGCTCTCCCGTGATGTCCACATTGATGATGAAATCAACGCAAAGCTAGCAAAAGCTAGCATGGCATTTGGCAGACTCTGTAAGTCAGTCTGGAACTACCGAGGCATCAGAATGTCGACAAAACTGAAAGTTTACAAAGCCATCATCCTCCCGACCCTCTTTTATGCCTGCAAAACCTGGACTGTCTACCAATGTCACGCCAAGAAACTAAACCACTTCCACCTGGGCTGCCTGCAAAAGATACTAAAGATCAAGTGGCAGGACAAGATTCCAGACACTGAGGTGCTCAGAAGATCAGCTGTCCCCAGTATCCACACCTTACTGAAACTGACACAGCTAAGATGGGCCGGCCACCTTTCAAGAATGCCCGACACTTGCCTGCTAAAGAAAATCTATGGCAAACTGTCAAATGGAGTACATTTTCACGGAGCACCAAAGAAGCGGTACAAGGTCACCCTAAAGGTGTCCTTAAAGAGCTTCGGCATCAACTCGGAGTCATGGGAGCAAATTGCTCGTGACCGTCCATCCTGGAGGTCATCGGTCCAGAGTAGAGCACTAGCCGTCGAGCAGCAGCGTGTGGCAGAGGCAGTGAAGAAGTGCGTGGCCAGGAAAATGAGGACCTCTCATGTCCAGTCGTTGCTTTCCTGCCTCTGCTGCAGCAGATTGTTCAGGGCAAAGATTAGGGTTATAAGTCACCTACTTACCCACAAAACCTAGCCTCCACCCCACTCCCTCTTTCTTTCTTCTCTCTTCTTTCTTTCTCTTTACTCCCCCACTTTTCCTTTGCTGCTTCCTTTCTGTCTTCTCTTCCCCCTTCCTCTCCCCCCCTCCCCTGCTGGATGTGGTCATCTTTGCTCTCGAAGGATGAACTCACACATTTATTTAAATAAAGTAAGCCTATTTAAATCACTTAAAACTTATTTTTCATCATCCATACTGCTTAGTTTTTGCGTGTTTCTCAATTTGATTAATGAAAGGTGACTTTTCAGCTTTGGTGTCAGGAACTCATTGCACAGCACTCCTTTGTTATGGTTGCAAACAGTGCAAATACAACAGTAAAACGAGTTTAGAGCACATTTCAGTTATCTGAACAAAAGGTCCTAAGTTTAAATCTTATAAAAATATTTCAGAGAATTATTTGTTAAAAATCCCAGTTAAAACTTTAAAATGGCACAGGCTCACCCTACAGTTATTTGAATCGATTGAAACTTAAGCCCTAAATTGGACCAGGATGTAAGTTTTTGATAGTAAAATGAAATAGGAAAAATAAGATGCAATAAACTTATTTGCATTGTCCAGATGGAAATAAAAAGTTGATTAGATGTCTAGTACTGCTATTTGTAAAATAAGTAAGTAAATTTACACCATTGTTAATCTCAGGATATTTTTTTAGAATTAATATTTGTAATCAATAGCTTACCTGAAATTGGAAATGTGAAATTTCTTTGGAAAAGTGATCCATTTTAGCCTGCAGTTTCCTTTTCAGTATTTCTGTTGCCACTGATAAAATAACCCTTTTGTTCTATTTCAGATCTGTTTGTTGCACAGACACAGCCACTTGAGAATACGAACTTAAAAAGATTATACATTTCTCTTGTTTGCTTTTCTTAGCTCATTTCCAGTTGCCAGCATAAGCTCAGCATAAAACATGGGGAAAAAGAAGAAAAAAGAGAATCTAGAACAACTGTACAAAGAAGCAAGATCATCTTTCCCAGAAGCTTTGCTGGCATTTCAGTACGTTGAATTAATTTAAAATCTCAGTAATATAAAACATGTCATACACAAAACAAACTGCAGCTAGCTCTTACCTGAGCCACTCGGAGTATTGGCTACATTATAAAAATGAAAATAGCTGTTATTTTTACTATGCTGTACCTGTTTTTTGTTTTCAGGGATATTCCAGAAATGTATACCTTGTAAGTGAATGTGTCTGGAGGAAACATCTAAAGTGGGTCAAGCGTTATTTTTTCTTAAAGTTAGAAATTGGGAACCTCTCTGGCTCTCTTTTTAAGGAAACACTTGTCCAAAACAACCTTTTCTATCTGCTAATAGTAAAGATTTTAATTTAAGTACAGTAAACTGAAGTTTGAATTTGATACCTGGTTCTGGTCATTATACTCTTCTGAAATTAAATCCATGTAAAGACTAGGAAAAGTTAATAAGCCATCTCTCCAAGACTGATCCTCTTGAATGCAGGCTTGGGGTGAGGCACAAAGATGCTTTAGATTCCTCAAGCCTTCAAGTTGTTAGATACCAGGCAGTTCCCAAGCAGCTTTGTGGCTGCTTCCAGTTGTGCCAGTTACCAAAGACGCTCAGGATACATTTTGGTCTAGGCTCAAGGGTTCTTACTTGTCTTGCACCAGTAGGGTATCCCTGTCTTATGTTGACCAGATTACATTAACGTTAAGGCAAAAATCAGCCTTAGTGGGATCAATATTAAGTTCCTATAAAGGACCTGATTCTGATTTCAGTTACAGCAGTACAAGTGAGAAGTTACTGTAGTTAAAATTAGTAGTTGTAGTAGTGGAAGATGATTGTAATAGAGATTAGAATTGAGGACAGAAATTCTCTTTTAAAACTCAATGAACCCAAATTTTCCAAAACAACCCCTGCCCAAAGTACCTTCTCTGTTCTGTTCTCTTCACTCTACCTGGAATCCCTGTTTAGTAAAATCTTTACAATGCTTTTGTTTATTACATTTAAAGACTGAAGAGTTTTCATTGGAGAAGTCAATCTCAGCATAATATGGATTCCTTGATTTATTCCCATCAGTTTCATAGGAGTGTGGTCCCAGCCATGATACAGCAACAACCAAACTGTCAAGGACCCTGATAGTTCTCATTAGCCTACCTCCCAGAATAAATAAGCCTGACATGAACTTTTTCTTCCTTCCCTCTGCTTCCCCTAGATTTTTTTTTTTTTTCAAATACCGATTTATGTTACTGGTTGCCTGAATGTTACTGGTGATTAGTTTTTCAAGGCACAAATGAATTAAAAGTAGGATCAGAAATGGAAAGAAAAAATTCTTAGCAGTCCAATTTACCCTATTCTGTGTAGATATCGTGCTAGGCAAGATTGTAGCTTTACATTTGTTTGTAGTTATTTATCTGTAGTACAATAATACAGAGCCTTAATCACCCTGACTTTTGAGAAACAGATAAAAAGCTGGATGTAAATTGACAGCACAATTGGCTAATGACATTAGGCATTTGGCATAACAGGCGTTTGGCATGCCTGAACCACCCAATTTCCCTCAATGATAAGGTTACAAGCTCCGTGGCTGGGAAGTGAGCAGTGGATGTGATATACCTTGAATTTAGCAAGGCTTTTGACACAGTTTGTTAATGAGAATATCGTGAAAACAAAGGAAATGCAGACTTGAGAAAAGTACTGTAAAGTAGGTAGAAAACTGGTTGGATCATTGTGTTCAATAAATAGTCTTCAATGGCTCAATGTCTGGTTGGAAGGAGGTATCAAGTGTGGTTCCCCAGGGGTCTATCTTGAGGCTGGTATCATTTAACATCTTCATTAATGATTTGGACAATGGGATCGAGTGTTTGCTTAGCAAATTTGAGGATAACTCTAAGTTGAGTGGAGTTGCAGACACTCTGGAGGGTAGGACTAGGATCCAGAATAACCTGGATAGACTGGAGAAATGATGTGCAATCAACCAAAAGAAATTTAGCATGGACAAGTGCAGAGTCCTGCACTTGGGATGGAAAAATTGTATGCACAAATATACACTGGGGAATGATTGGCTAGCACCACAGAGAAGGACCTGGGGGTGACAGTGAATATTTATTTACTAAATATGAATAAATTGAATATGAGCCAACAGTATGCTCTTTTGCAGAAGAAATCAACAGCATCCTGGTTTGTGTTAACAGGAGAGTCACTTGCAAATCAAAGGAAGTGATTCTTCCTCTGTACTCAGCACTCGTGAGGCCTCATTTGAGGTATTGTGTCCAGTTTTGAGCCCCTTCACACTTCAAGAAAGATGTGAATGGATTGGATAGAGTCCAGCAGAGAGGGACAAAAATGATTAGAGGCCTGGGAAGCACAACTTACGAGGAAAGGCTCAATGAACTACAGTGAAGAGAAGAGCTAAGGAGGGATTTGATAAATCTTCAAATGCCTGAGGGGAGATTATACAGAGTATGGAGATAGACTAGTCTCTGTGGCCACAAAGGACAGGACTAGGAGCAATAGCCTCAAGCTGTAGCAGAGGAAATTTACATTGGAGATTAGGAAGAACTTTTTGACTATGAGGGTGGTGAAGCTTTGGAACAGGTTACCTAGAGAAGTTGCGATTCCTGATCCATGGACATTTTTGAGATTAGATAGATGCTTGGCTGGGATCATTTAGTCAAGGATGTTTCTGTCTTGTGCAGGGGGTTGGATTAGATGACCTCATGAGGTCTCTTTCAGCCCTATTTTCTGATGAACCTATGATCCTAATGGACTGATTGATGTGCCCACAGCACACTTAATAATTTGATACTAACTGGTAACACTTAACTGTGCAGTTCCCCTGCTGCATGTAGTTGTTGGTTCCTGTGACTGGATAGTAGTACAAGAATTTCTGTGTGTTGATGGGCACCAAACCTTTCCTGAGCTATGCCAAATAATGCCAAATAATAATGTCAAAATTAAACAAGCGCTACTTACCAGACAGATAACAGCTTCTGCTGGCATAGACCCAGAACAGACTAAAGCTTTGTCTATACCAGGTGATCAAAGTATGTCCCACAGGCCAGATTTCACCCATGGAGCTGTGTTATCCAGCCAATAGGATTCCCCATGGGTCCAGAAATTGGGCAACTTAGAAGTGTGGTAGTGTTAATTGTTGAGGAGAACTAACTGGCTCTGTGCACTGGATTGGGCCTGCAGAGCAGCCCCATGCCAGCCTATAGGGCTGCATGAGTTGGATACCACTAGTCTACACAGTATCTCATTGACTACAACCAGTCACTGGCAGAGTTTAAAAATGATTTGTGTTGGCATGCACGTGCTTACAGTCTGGTTACATCAGTTAATAGCATTTTTTCCCTACCAGAGGCCTAGCTAGGCTCTTGTAACCACTCCAGCATGGCATTTTCTTCAATGGAGACAACACTCCCAAAACAGCCTTGTGTATACAATTTGACTGGCTATACTTCCTGGCACTGTGCCTTCCTGTATGCATTCTTGTTCTGCATACATGTGCCTCAGCATGCTGTTCCCTGGTGCTACAACTTAAAATGGTTAATAGATTTCTCCTGTAGGCACAAGAAGGCTGCCTGGTAGATGAGGCCACATAAGCACAGCTATGATGATGGTGTGTACACAGAACTGAAGTGTATTACTGGTCATCAGTTACTGTATGACTGAACCTGTAGCATAGCCATGATTAAGAACTGTAGTTGTACAGCGAGGCAAGCTATTTCATCCTCAGGAAAAAACTGGGTACTTGTCAAATTTCTGTTGACTGTTAAAGTGAAGGAGCTGAAGACAGGAAAGAAAGAAATAATCAACATTTGTAACTTGACTGTAGATGACAGATCTCTTTAGATCCATGATGGGAAGAAAAGTTAATGCTTTGCTCTGTGGCTTCTATCAAATAGATTTAATTTCAAAGGATAAACTGGAGCAGCATCAAAATTCAACAAGTCAAATGAGCATTTGAAGAACAAGTACTAGCTCATTGTCCGGCCTCATTTTCTATTTCCTTTTCCAGACAATAGCAGCTGCATACAATTCTACTACAGCGTGCAGGACTTTGTGTGGGATTTCTGTAGACTGGTATGAACCTCATTTAGCATTTTGTAAGGAGCAGGCTGCACATGCCCCTAATATAAGCTGTCTCATAGTGGGGATATATATTGACCTATAAACAACAAATAAAGCAGTATATCATCCCACTGTGGAATAATCAAAGAATGTTTTTGCTGCCCAGTAACATAACTTTATGGTCAGTTTACTCCCTTGGATATTTCAGCATTCAAGCAAAAGACTATTATCAGGAGAGTCTTCCATTCAATTGGGGTTGTACTACTTATGCATAGGTTTGTTTTTTTTCCCAGTACAAAAGTAGAAGATATCAAATGTGCATCTCAAATTTTTATTCACAACCTCTATAAAGCTTTCTGCCTCATTTCCCTTATTTGTACAAATGGGCGTAATGAGACATGAACTGACCTCTTAAGTGTATTTTAAGGATTAATGTGTCAAGTGGCACATAACACCTGGTGCTGTTTTTCCTTCTGTTGTTTGAAGAAACTAGAACTGTTGCTATTCCTGGTGTTTTTCTGTTCCTTGCATTGTCAATAGTAGTTTTCTATTTCAGCAATGGGTAGAAACAGCACTGTAATGAATTGTTGAAACAGTAATGCCCCCTAGAGGAGTTACCAAACCATTTGGATACTAGTGTATAATATAAGGTTGGATACCATATTTTAATGTGTAATTTTCAAGTTAATTTTAAAGTTTAATTTTAATGTGGTTTAAAGGGGTTCTTTGTATTATAAACAATAGCATCCAAAATATGTTAATTCAGAAATACAGTATCAATCAAACTGAACAATAACTCCTTGAATCTGACAGTTTTCTTGGAAAACTCGAATCAGAAAGTTCCAGTTAGCAACAAAATGGTGAAAACCTCATGTACACAGCTTCTGCATTTATACCACCAAAATGAGGTGCATTAATACCACCAAATAGATAGCCTTGCAGTATAATAGAAGTCTCTTTCACCCATTAAGGTGGAAATAAAGTGTAGCATCAGTATGCAGAATAGTAACATAGACTGAAAAAAACAGCTTAGTAAATGAGCATTACATACTGCCAAGTCATAACCTGTTTCTGATCTTTAGTACAATTTTGCCATGTCCTGTGACTCCATATTTTCAGCGTCTCCTTTCAACTTCATATATTTGAAATGTTTGAAGGAAAAACTGAAAAATGCTTTGGAGCAGCTATCCAGTGCCACACTGACAGCAGAGGATGCAATATTAATAACTTGTAACTTACATGACTAAATCCCTGCATGATTTCATAGACATCAGGGCTGGAAGGGACCTCGGAAGATCATCGAGTCCAGCCCCCCGCCCAAAGGGCAGGAAGTCAGCTGGGGTCATAGGATCCCAGCAAGATAAGCATCCAGTTTCATCTGATCTAAAGCTCAGACTTCTCCAGGAAAAAAAAAATTATTTTCAACTTAATAAACATCAGTAGGAACAAAAAAGAAGACATAATCAAGGAGTGATACTTATTGGAACAGCAGAGGGTGTGATGGTAATGGTTCTACATGCCTCTGTTGTGCCCTAGAGTAAGTCAGTTCTGGGAAGATATAGGAAATAGATTAAATGATGATTTTGGAATATAGCTTCACTGACAAACCAACATAACTGATGGAAGGAGATCTGAGAGCATGAGAGAATCTAAATAAGCCACACTGTAAGAAAAAGTTTCTTTTGAAAAAACAGCTTTCCCACAAAAGGGCACTACAAAAATCAATCAACAAGCAGCACATATGTTGTGAGCTGGTTCCCAGTGCTAGGTTTTAAGCACCAAAGTACCTAATACCCTATACCATAGATGTATTTCCTTGGAAAATGTTGCTGTAAGTATTGCAGTGGGAGCTGCTGGTTTCCATGTACTTTGGAAATCTGGCCCATGATAAACTAGATCATTGTGAGGGGCTATCCCTTTTCTGTCTAGGAACAATGAATAAAAGTGAATGATGGCGAGATGTGAGCAGTGGGGTACCCCAGGGTTCGGGCCCGCACTGTTTAACAACTTCATCAGCGACTTGAACGAGGGGGTGGAAAGCACGCTGTCCAAGTTTGCTGATGACACTAAGATGTGTGGCGAGGTGGATACACTTGAAGGGAGAGAGAGGCTGCAACTAGATTTAGACAGACTACAGAAGTGGGCAGACGAGAATAGGATGGGGTTCAATGCAGACAAATGCAGGGTGCTGCACCTTGGGAGAAGGAATCCACAGCACACATACAGGCTGGGGAGTTCCCCTCTTGAAAGCACAGAGGCGGAAAGGGATCTTGGAGTCATTATTGGACTCCAAGATGAACATGAGCTGCCAATGCCAGACTGCAGCCAGCAAGGCCAGCCATACCTTGTCATGCATCCAAAGGTGCATCTCAAGCCGGTCCAGAGAGGTGATACTCCCCCTCTATGTGACTTTGGTCAGGCCGCAGTTGGAGTACTGCATCCAGTACTGGGCGCCGCACTTCAAATGGATGTGGCCAGCCTGGAGAGGGTTCAGAGAAGGGCCACCTGCTTGGTGAGAGGGCAGCAGGACAGACCCTATGAGGAGAGACTGAGGGACCTGAACCTGTCCAGCCTCAGCAAGAGGAGGCTGAGGCGGGACCTGGTGGCTGCCTACAAACTTATCAGGGGAGATCAACAGCAAATAGGTAGAGCCCTTTTCTCCCAGCACCACCTGGGGTGATGAGGAACAATGGTAATAAGCTGATGGAGAATAGGTTTAGGTTAGAGATCAGAAGGCAATATTTTACAGTTAGGGTGGCCAAAATCTGGAACCAACTTCCCAGGGAAGTGGTCCTCACCCCTACCTTGGGCAAATTCAAGAGGAGGCTGGACCTGTCTGGGGTCTTGTGAACCCAGCGTTCATTCCTGCCTGTGGCAGGGGATCAGGCTAGATGTTCTGTTCAGGTCCTTCCTGACCCTAGCTACTATGAAACTACTATATACTGTAGTAATTTTCAAAGGCTGTGCTATTAGCCCTGGATTTGCTTTTATGCTTCTTTTTCCTTTTAACATAGTGGCAGTTCAGTAGGCAAACCATAACCTCCTGTGATTTGGGAAGTTACCTAGTACGTGGTCACGTTCCACCCTACTTATGTCTTGATAGTAGAGGTGAGGGAGAATACAGGAAGTTTGCTGCTTCCTCTCCATTGTCCCTGCCTCTGAAATCAAGGAAGCTTTTTCCCACCACTGAGGAGGGAAGGTCACATTGGGGAACAACCTTTTTGCATGATTCCTTCTGATCCAAGTGACTGTCTGATGAAATATCTGCTTAGGAATCATTTTAGCACAAATCATTGTATAACTCCCTCACAACAAACCTCCAGAGCACTGGGGGACCATAGCGGACAACAGTACAGCCGCTAGCAGAGAGTGAATAGTTTGTAAGGGCCTCAGGAAGTCAAATAGGCTGCCAGTGCTGCAGGAGACAGGACAGTTTGGAGAAATCAAATTAACATTCATGGAGTTTCCCATCTTGCACTGGGAAGCACTAGCCTATCAGGGAGGCAGCATGGTCCTAGCCATATTCTTTACAGAGGTACAGGGTCAGGAGACCTTGGTCCTCTTTCTGAGACCTTAGAGAAGTCACTTCACTGCTCCATTTCTGAGTCTCCCCATGTGAAGTATGGGGGTAACAATGCCGATCCACCTTAGCAGAGCAATTGGGAGATCACAGATAAAAAAAAGCAGCAGGCCATATTTATAGCTAATATATTCTAAAATAATCCCTCCCACTCTCTGCCAGAGTTCTGTAATAATTCATCATGTATTCCTTTTTTTTTCTCAGAATTCAGATAAAGGAAGAAGCAATTGATCGGCTTCTGTTAGAACTCAAGGAACTGGAAGAAAAGAATGAAAAATATCGAGAAAGGGTAAATAAGTATGAATGTCTCATTACACGTAACTGTATTTGAGCTAAGAAAACTGAATTTTTGGGCATTATCATTTCTAGCATCTCCTGTAATGCATTAACATATTGTATTGCCCAAGGGTATCAAACTCCTCAGGCCCTACAAGTAGGGTGACCAGCTTTTCAAAATGGAAAGATGGGACACACATGCCCACCTCTCCTCCTGCCCCTTCCACCAGTGGCATGGCTGCAGAAGAGCCAAGTGGAGTGGGGTGGATGCGGGCTGCCCACTGCAGGCTTGGGGCTCCCCGCCCTGCTGCCCTTCCCCCCAGGAGCCCCATGCCAGCTGGGTGCCTACAGCTCGCAGCAGGAGGGACAACTCCACACCACTGCCACTGCCCTTGTCTCTGCTGCTGCTGCTGGGCAGTCAGGGGGCGCCTTGCCATGGTGGTGTGGATGGCACAGAGTTCCTGGCATCCCACATCTGCCCCTGCCCTGCCCATGGGGTCCGCTTGGCTCTGCTCCTGCTGTGCCACTGCGGGGGAAAGGCAGGCATATGTCCCATCTTTCCATTTTGAAAAGGTAGTCACCCTAGTCCCCGTTAGGAGTCCTGGCTCTGGTAAATTCTCTTCTATGGCTGTGGCAGGTCACATTGTCTAAGTTTAAGTTTGCCAGCTATAAAATGTGGCTTATAAAACAAAGTAAGAAAATATTGTTAAAACAATATGTAGATTCTACGCAATAGAAATGCCTGGAAGAAGAGTATCAGAGTCATTACCTTGTGACAATGGCCTGGAAGTTATTTAGAAACTTTCAGGACTTAACAAAACTAACAAAAAATACAAATCTCTTCCACTGATTTCCCCACTTCCCTAAAAGAAGCCATTTTCAAATAAGCAACATAGCTCTGTCTAGCTGGATATTTTTGCAAAGCACCCTAGCACTAATCCAAGTCTTATTCTATTTATTTCTAAATTTTTGAAAAAATAGATAAAAAAACCAGTAATGCACAACTTATTGTTGTTCTTTTCATAGAATAAACAGCTGAAGGAGGAACAGCTGGGTTATATCAAGGATCTACTAAATGACCTCAAAAAACATGAAAAATTGCTTGAGGAAAAGGAGGTTGTAACCAGAGATGATGTAGAGGAGGCAATGAAGGAGCAATGTCAGTATGTTAGGGACCAAGAACAGCTTTTGAAAGGTGAGTAGTACTGCTTGCAGGTCCACAGCTAGGGTGGAGTAGAATTTTGCACTTCAAGTAGAGATTCAGCCACTACATCACCTACAAAAGAACATGGCTTTCCCACTCCCAGATTAAGCACCTACTTTATGCATATAGAATTAGTCTTCTGGGAATTTTTAATTAAACCCATAAAATAGTTTAAGTTAAAATTTATTATATATGAAAACCTACCAGTGCCTTGTGATTGGCATCTTTTCATCTGTGAGACGGTGGATATTGCAGGCTGTGGTGTAGATGGTTTGCAGTGCCTCAAGTGACTGAATAGTCCAATCAGATTTGCATGATTTGTGACAGTACTTGCAAGTGTATGCATCATGATTGGGTGGTTTATTTGCTGCTTGCTTCCTGTGGACTCTTTTTTTTCTTCAAGCTGTTGGAGCCAATTCCTGTTCTCTTGTTCCAATCGATTAGATAGATTAGATCAGTTAGAAATGGGTCCTTTAAGAAATCAACACCGTATTTTAGAAGTCCCCCCCGGCTTTTCCTACATGATGTTAATGATGAAACAGTACAGACTCTTCACATTTCCCTCAGAGTTAAACTCATTGAAATCTTATACATTAGCTACATTGGCATATTTATATAACAACAACAACAACAGTAGCAGGTATTTTTGCCATTATAACTTGTAGTTTTGGTTGCCATCGTTCTCAGTGGGTGCAGCCATATGAGACGTTTACTGCGGAGTTGCCTAATTAGCTCCACCGTAAAGTCTCAGCATCTACACGTCCACCCATATTAGGGTGCACTAAACTAATAAATGCTTCTGTAGGTTAGTACTTATAAACAAATACTGTACTGTGGTGGCGACATTTACTGTCCCACAACACACGTATAGATGTTGATAAGGCTGGCTGAGGCATGAGGATACTTTAGCACAGGGGCTGCCTGTTGGCTAACCCTGCACTGAAGCACCCTCATGCCTCAGCCAGCCCCTCCACAGCACTTTGAGCCAGATCGGAGCAGCCCCAGGCTGGCAGGTTGACCCCTTGGGCCCCTGCCAGCTGGGGCTGTTCTGACCTGACTCAACATGCTGTGATCGCTGTGATCTGGGCGCACATGCAACTGTGGTGCACAGGAGCAATAAACTCTAGCGCGAATTGCGCCCAAATTTATTGCTCCATGCTAATAGAACACGTAGATGCACCCAGTGAGATTGAGGCAATGTGCCTTTGAGCGAGATACTGCCTTTCAAAATGAGCAGTCTTCCATTGTTTCCAATGTGAATCCAAGCTGTTTCTGGAAAAGATAGTGCCACCTCATTGGATAGTAGGGCCAGCCTGTGTAATATTTTGCAGTGAGAGCTCTTCTATCTCCAGTGCCACTGAAACCCTCCTAACTAAAGAAATGTACATAGTAATAGAGGAAATAATGTTATCTTTTAATCTTGTTTCAATAGATCTGAACTCCCAGATAAGTGAATATGATGAGAAACTTTCAGTAAGGGAGCTCGAGAAGGATTATTGGCTGGAATACAAAAATGTGGGAAGTGGAGATCATGCCAAACAGATCCAGATCTTGGAAAAGGACATCCAGGCACTCAAAGATGACCTTAATGAAATGACAGGTCAGTTACGAATGTAAATACACACAATGCCCCATGTAAACACATGTCTGAGCTACTTTCTTAACTTGCAGAAAGTAATTTGTGATCAGATTAATTACATACATTAAAGTCAAAATTTTCAAATCTGGTTGCCTGAACTTAAGCTTCATGTGCTAGTTTTAGGCAGTTAAAATTCAGGCAGACTGTTTTTCAGAGGTGCTCCACTGATGTCTAGATGTTACACGTGCCTGGTACTTTGGACACTCAAGCTGCTTTTATTTAGTTGTCTAAGTGCAGATTACAGAGCCTAACAATGGGCCCCAATTTGGAAAGTGCTCATCAATTCTGCTATGCTCTTACTGTTTTGATGTATCACTACATCCTCTATAAATTTCCTTTTCAAAATTCCTTATTCACAGGAATTCACATAATTGGAGCTGATGAAATCTGAATGTAATATGGTGCTTTAAATCTAGAGCTTGTGGAGGCAGGTATCAGTCTCTTCTAGCAAACAGAGCAGCACCTCATTCCCCAAGATCTGAGTATAGTATACTGGTTACAAGGCGATGGGTGCAAAGGCTTGCAAAATCCTCAGCACTAAAATATTCATGTTCTGGGAACTGTTTCAGTTCTAACAAAGCAACAGAACACAATTAAAAGCTATTAAGAGCTTAGTGATTGTGTTGGTGAGTGCTTAAAACCATTAGACAGACAAGGTTCCTTGGGTGAATCTGATATCCTTTATTAGACCAACCCAAATAGTTGGAGAATAGTTATTAAGCAAGCTTTTGGGTTCAAAAACCCTTCGTCAGGCTAAGGAAGTTTCAGCAGTTAGTGTGCTCTTCCTGGATGGAATGAAAAGTAAAGAAGCCAGAGTCAGTTGTCAGGGAGATTATAATGTGTCAAAAATCCAATGTCTATATTTAGTAAAACCATTAGATTTACTTACACAGTTGATTTTAAAATCATGTGCTAGTTTTTTAGCTGTTGTGTAACTTTTAGGATTAAAAAAAGTCATGGTTTGCTTCCCTTATAAGCTTCTCTGTATTCATTACCAGAGCCAAGCAGCCAGTAGTGACAGGCAGTGACAACAATATAAGTGCCTCCATACATTCAGTGCCAACCATTACCAAGCATCAAGTGCTGTAGATAAGAGCTATTCAGCTACTCTCTTTGTCTGCCCTAGGATAACAGCTCTGAAAACATACTTGATCTTGATTGAGATCTGAACTGTTTTCCACACTGCTTACTCCTGTGCCAGTTCACTTAAGTAACTATTCTAGGAAAGCCTGATACTTTGTGTTTCCCCTGTTTGCAATAAATTTAAATCTTTACTGGGCCAACTGAGGTGCTTAATAAAAAAGAGAACATGTTGAATACAGACTCCTTTGTCTTGAAGATCAGAAGGGACAATATGACCATACAGCCTGACATCCTACATAACCTAGGCCAGAGCTGTCAAATGTCTAAGTGGCTGGGACCCACATGCTGTATGAACTGCAGCAATGAGGACCACATGCCATGCAGACAGCACCAGCATGAGCCATGGGCCCAAGGTCCCATGGACATGCCCCTACTCCCCTGCTCACTGCACCATGCTGTGCAGACACCCAGGTGTCCCCCATCCCAACTCCCCAGCCATATCCCTCTCCTATTCCCTCCACTTGCACTGTGCCTTGCAAGTGTCCCTATCATTGTGGGTGGTGCACCATGCCTCTCCTCACTCCAGGGTAAGGGCAGGAAGCAGAAGGACATGGAACAATCTACTTAGATGATTGAAACAATGTGAAAACCATATTGCTTATATGGATATGAAAAGACTCTTTACTCTGTTAGAAACAAACTTAAAAAGCATCCTGTGGATCTAGGGGGCATACTGGACAAGCAGCTCATAAGCTCCTAATGTGATGCTATGGCAAAAAGGATCAAAATCATAGAGAAACAGGAATGGAATGCAGCACAAGAAGATATTGAAGTCCAGCCATCTGCTGAAAGCAGGATCGTTCTTGTCTAACCCGTCCCAGATAAATGTTTGTCTAACCTGCGCTTAAACTTCCAGTGACAGAGATTCCACTACCTCCTTTAGTTAATGCGATTGTTGGACACACAGATGGGAATAGGAGCAGGGAGGTGTTTCATATAAGGAGAGGAGAGACTCACACTATAAATATTTCTGGTGTCAACATTTAAAAGAAGATGTTGTATTTAAATAAAAGATGTAAAGATCTGCAAAAATGATTTGAGAGCTAGAGACTTAAAGACTTTACTCTGTTTAATCAGCAAACTGAAAGGTGATCAATTGTGGCATATAACCACCCTCACAGGGAGAAAATACCAGGTACTAATGGGCTTTTTAATCTAGTACAGAAATAACTGAACAGAAAGACATAAGAACCAATAGGTAGAAGCTGAAGCCATACAATTTAAAATGACACAAGGGCACACCTTTTTAAGAGTGAACATGATTAACTATGGGAACAAAGTACCAAAGGAAGTGGAATTCTGTCTCTTGCTGTCTTCAAATCAAGTTGGGTATCGGCTGAAATGCAATGATGTCCTGTGTATGCAGGAGGTAGCACTAAAAGATCTAGTGGTGCCTTCTGGGTTCTAACATTTATGAATTATGAGTAATGTTTAATTAATTTTTATTCAGAGATGACTTCTCCTATCAGTTCTATAGCTGGTTAAAGATTAAATAAACCTTAGGTCTGATATACACCAGAGGATAACTGAATACAGTCTAGTTATCATTAATATCCTGTGGGATGAAGAAGAATTTTAGGAGACAAAGATGCTCTAAATCTGCTGCTGTGCTGTTATATTCCAGTCATTGTTGTGTATTTAAGGTTATGGGAAACAAACTACTGCCAACAGGAGAGGGTAGAGAGTCCCAGGGCGCTAGCAGGAGTCTGCAGAAATGTTCTCCTTGCTCCATGCACTGTACCTTCAGAATGAAGGCAAGAGCAACCTTTGTTGTACTCCATAAAGTACAATGTTCTGTAGCATGTTCTCATATATACCAATTGTTCTACAGGTCAGTGCAGGGGAAGGGACTTCACATCTTTGCCTGCCTCTTCCCTTTTTCCCTAAGGGTGGACTCGTAAAATGGAAGAACTGAGAGAGCGGTCAGCCAGACTACAATGGGAAGAAAGATTATTGTTTCCTTGCATCTCTCTTGCATACCAGCCCAGGGTAGAATGCAGTTTGATTTTAACCGTTAGTGCTAATCAGTCCACTGACACACAACAAGTGTGTGCTAAGATTCAATTGAATATATTCTCTGAAAACAGACATTCAGGTCTGTTAAAAATATTGATGCCATGACTAGTAAGGCTAGCTTGAGTTCAGGAATACTGGACCAGTTATCAATTTCTCGTCAGAGGGATTCAGTCACTTAGGCACAGGTCCAAAAGAGAACATCACCATCCCCAGAAGTAACATCTACATCAACAAACATGTAGATGGTTTGCAGTGCCTCAAGTGACTGAATAGTCCAATCAGATTTGCATGATTTGTGACAGTACTTGCAAGTGTATGCATCATGATTGGGTGGTTTATTTGCTGCTTGCTTCCTGTGGACTCTTTTTTTTCTTCAAGCTGTTGGAGCCAATTCCTGTTCTCTTGTTCCAATCGATTAGATAGATTAGATCAGTTAGAAATGGGTCCTTTAAGAAATCAACACCGTATTTTAGAAGTCCCCCCCGGCTTTTCCTACATGATGTTAATGATGAAACAGTACAGACTCTTCACATTTCCCTCAGAGTTAAACTCATTGAAATCTTATACATTAGCTACATTGGCATATTTATATAACAACAACAACAACAGTAGCAGGTATTTTTGCCATTATAACTTGTAGTTTTGGTTGCCATCGTTCTCAGTGGGTGCAGCCATATGAGACGTTTACTGCGGAGTTGCCTAATTAGCTTCAGCCGCAAAGTCCACAAGCCCAAGGGAGTATCCTAAGTTCCATATACATTAACTGGAAAGATTTGGGTTCTGAGGGACTGGGATTCAAAACATTTTGGTACACTAAGTAGAGGGAGAGGGGAAGGCCTAATTTATGAATGCCATATACGTTACATGGAGTTTAGATATCCAAATGTTTGGCTTGGCCAAGCTGGCAGCAGATCTGAGCATATGCAGTAGCTGAACTTTAGGCATCTGCCTATTCTCAGGTACCTAAGATAAGTAGGGTTTTTGTGCAACGTTCATTTTGACTTCAGTGTTTAAATATAATGTAAAATACAGCATGAGCACCCAGGTTCTCTTTTGGATCTGGTCCTTAAAAAAATTCTGCTTTGTTTTTACAGAATTCTATAGAAGCACTTTGCAAATGACAAAAGATAAAATTGACAGAATGGTTGAGAAACAAAAGAGCCAAAAGAAGGAATGGGCCACTGAGGTATGTGTGTATGTGTTTATGCATGCACAGAAATATATATTTTTGCTTTTATACTTAGTAGCATTTGCAACCAGATTAAAAAAATACAAGCTTGAACGTTTCCAAGTGAATTACAGGATGTTAAATGAGTAGGAGTTGTGAATAAAATAACTGTAAAATATTTTTATTGACCAGGGTTGTATTGCTCATTATTTTTAATGGACTGTAGCAATAATATCTACCACTTTTATAGCACAGTTTTTATAGATTGGGAAACTGACATCCAGAGAGGTAAAGTGACATGCCCAAGAACTTGACATATTTCCTATGAATTTAATTTTGATATTATCACAGACTGGGAAAATCATTAATAATCTACTATGATCATTCCTCCTTGTAGAATTAAATTTTGAAACTTAAAAAAAAAATGAGCATTTTGTTTTAAAACTCAGAAGCATATTTTGAAAATGCCAAAGCATTGCTATTTCTTGAAATAAACATGGAACAAAACAAATGTAATTCTTTATTGCTAGTTCAGAATTGTAGCTTGTCAATTTTAACAGGATTTTGCATTTAAAAAAGAAAAATCTTTAAATTTCTGCAAGGCCAGTGTCTGGAGAAACAAAACTGGTAGTGATTGATACAAGTCTTGTTGCACAAACACTGACACGTTTTCTTTACTTAAAAATATGGGAGGATTCCAACTGCCATTAAACAAGTGAACACTGTTTGCAAGACTGAGGCTTTAGTGTGTTTTATTTTAAAGTTTTATTATACATTAATTTTTCCTTCAAAAATGAATATTGACTAGAATGTGGACAAAAGTGATTAAAGATAGGAAAAAGCATTTACCTTTTCTGTAATCTAAAGACAAACATACATTTCATTCATATTTGAACCCAAATTGTTCTCATTTATATCAGTTTTCAGAAAGCATTTTGCAGAGATCTATGCACATTTATCATTGGGATGCTATTTGTCATTGAATCCCTTTAGCAATCAGGGATTTACTTCGCTGACTTCAGAAGGTCACTCTTCATTTTCAGTGGTACAAGAAGAGAATCAGACTAATAGCTTATGTACTTACAATTCTAAACAGGGGGTGTCAAACTCATCCATTTCTGTGGGCTGGATGAGTAGTGCAGTGTGGTCCACTGGTGAATCCAAAGAATAGGGCCAGATCTAGAGCATAGAGACATCATCTGGCCCATGGGGCTGTTTGTAGGGCCAGAAATGTGGTGGTGGGGCAAGTAGTGGCAGTGCTGATTGCTGCAGCTTTGGGAGCTACAGCAGCACCCCCCCGCTCATCCCGTCACCAAAGTTCTAACCCATGGGCAGCCTTACAGGCCAGATGACATAGCTCTGAACTCCAGATCTAGCCCATGGGTCAGTAACACTGTTGCCAAATTTCTATCTCCATGGGTCTGATGAGACAGATCCATGGCTGAGATCCAGCCTGTAAGATGTATCTTTGACATCCCTGTTCTAAACAATGGCTTGCTCCTTCCTGTGTCTCCATCTCCTCTTACTTGAATCAGAAATGAAGTTGTAGCTTCTGCCAGCAAATTAACTAGCATGGGCCTCTGCATAAGTGAGGAGCTTCACTGGATCAAGTTATAATGCAGTATATGTAGTGTTGCTTCATTCTCATTGCAGAAGTCTGATTTTACAAATACAAGATTATTACATCAGTGCAGGGTACCTCAGGAGTAGAAAGAGATAGTTAGACATGTTAGTTTGAAGTCAAGCAGATGGTAGGGAAGGTTTCTGAATGAGTTAGTCTTGAAGGTACCACTCTACCCCACCTTCAGAAGTCAAAGGAAAGCTGGGGAGGAAAAATAAGATACAGAAAAAGAGGAATCAGATAACGTGCCTTGGCTGGGATGATCTGGGAAGGATGGCTGATTTTTGGAACTAAACCTCCTGCTCGTTCCATGGTGAAGTATCTTTGTGTCCGCAAGAGATCGGTATGATTCCTTGCGTTGATGTTTTTTGGCTAGGGAACTAAACTGCCTATTGGAAATGTCTTCTATAAGTATCTACTATTGGCAAAATCCTATCTTCAGAGGAGTTCTCTGATGTTTGTTTTCTCAGAATGCTGTTCAACACATTGACAAAAACAGTTGCAGGGAAATTAAAGAAAATGAATGGCTAAAAGAAGAGGTAAGAGTCACCCAATTTTTTACTCCATGACAAGATGCATTTGACTTAGTGGTAGGTTGTAGATGTTTGCTATCTAAGGTAGACCACTAAGGATGAATAAAAAGGTGAATAGAATTTTGCTTTAATTACAAGCTGTGAAGAGAAAAATACGTTTTGTATATTTGGCATTAAGATCTCAAGGTGAACATTCTTACTCTCAGTTGTACTACCTACCTTTCTGCCTTAATCTCAGTTTTTACTACAGACTGTGGCACTCCATACATCAGGTTTTTAAAAAATAAGTAATAACATGTTCTCTTCAAAGATATAATTAAGGGGTTCATCTACAAACATCTAGCAAATCATCTAGCAAACATCTACAGAGTAATTTTAAAGTATGTAAAATGTTGACTGCTATAAGAAAACGTATTAATGTTAGACATGGATGTCAGATGTGGTTTTGGAAAAAGGGTCTTAAGAATCTTAGTTTTACATGGGAGATGAGTAGAAAACCTGTAATTTAGTGTACAGGAGAACAGAAACCCAGAGTGTTATCTGGTAGTTTTATTAGTTACTTTGTGGCTTTGGTGCTTGCTAGCTCGTATCTTAATGGACTATAACTGAGCTCTGGCAGGTTACAGTTGAAGCCTACATAAATTGTGTTTAATTTTTTTCTGACCTAAGTGCGGAAATTGCATTTTCCAGGGTGAAAGACTCCCAGCCCTTGTTTTTGTTTGTTCTGCTCAACACCGATTCTCTATCCCATTCAGGACTGAACAAGGACATTGATAAAAACAGAGATGAAGTGTAGCAGGCGTGCTCCTTCCTGCAGATCTACCAGCAGGTTTATGAGTTGGTTTGGTTTAAGGGTTGAACACATTTTAATAGTTAACTCTTTGCATTTTTTCAGTGGTAGATTCTGGAGGAGAAGGTGGCCGTGGTGTCATTCCATTTGATCTAATACTACATTAAACTGTGTGAAATAGCAGGTCCTCTGAAGGGTAGGATTAGGCTTCAAAATGACCAGGAATCCTGGTTTTCTCTGATTTCATAGACATTTTTTAGACATTTGGGCTGGAAGGGACCCCAGAGGATCATCGAGTCCAGCCCTGTGCCCCAGAGGCAGGAAGTCACAGCAGGGATCATAGAATCCCAGCCAGATAAGCATCCAAATGTGTTTTGAAGGCATTCAGAGTGGGTGCTTGAACCGCCTCCAGCGGAAGTCTATTCCAAACCTTGGGGGCTTGGACAATGAAGAAGTTCTTTCTTATGTCCAGCCTGAATGGGTCACAGTGGAGTTTGTGACCGTTCGATTTTGTCATCCCTTGGGGGGCTCTGGTGAACAGACGTTCCCCCAGATCCTGATGAGCACCCCTGATAACCTTATAGGTGGCCACCAGATCACCCCTGAGCCTGCGCTTTTCCAGGCTGAAGAGCCCCATGGCTCTCAGCCTCTCATCATAAGGTCTGTTTTCCTGACCTCTGATCATGCGCGTGGCTCTCCTCTGCACCCTCTCAAGCTTCTCCACATCCCTTTTGAATTGTGGAGCCCAAAACTGGACACAGTACTCCTGCTGCAGCCCAAGTACAGTGGGAGAATGACGTCCCGGGATTTGCTTGAGAAGCACCTATGGATGATTGTGGAGCCCAAAACTGGATACAGTATACCAGCCGTGGCCTCACCAAGGCCGAGTACAAGGGGAGAATGATGTCCCAGGATTTGCTTGAGAAGCATCTATGGATGCAAGCCAGCGTTTTGCTTGCTTTACTAGCCGCAGCATCGCACTGAAGGCTTATGTTCATTTTGTGGTCAACCATGACCCCCAAGACCCTTTCATCTGTAGTGCTAACCAGCGTAGCACTACCAAGCCTATAAGCATGCTGCAGGTTTTTCCTCCCAAGGTGGAGAACTATACACCTTTGGCAAAAAAAGTTCTTTGGGTAAATGTGATATCTTTTATTAAACCAACTAAATAGTTGGACAGTTTGTTTTTTGCAAGTGTTCGGGCACAAACAACCTTCTTCAGGCTTAGGGAGAGTTTGTGTGCTTTTCTGGGTAGAAGAGAAGCTTACATCAATATGCAAAATGCAGGTCTGTAAAAATGCAAATGCATGGCAGTGAAGATCAGTGGGGATGGGAAACGATATATGTGAGACAGGTAGTTGTGGGGGCGGGAAATGGGAAGGTTGATCTGGTGAGAGAATGTAGTGGGTAAAATGCAGACAGGTCACCTGGGGTTATTAGATGGCAGGCAGGTTATAATGTGCCATAAATCCAATGTCTGTATTTAGTCCATGATTTTTTGTATCCAGTAGATTTGTGGAGTTCATAGGCTTATCTGTGAAAGGTGTTTTGTAAACACCAGGGATCTGGTGTAAACTGTATTGGTGAAAGCAATCTTGCCAGGATAGTGGCATCTGTGCAAGGACCAGTTTGATAGGATAGCAAAACCTGTTGGTGTATACAGCTCAACCCTTCCCTCTCTTTCTTTGTCTCCCTCCCAGATTACCTCATCTCTCTCATTCTCTCTTTCCAAGATTACCTCATAGCATAGGCGCCAAGTACATGGGGGTCCAAGCCCCTGGCCCCCCTCAGAAAGAGGGATGTCAGGGCCCAAACCTGAGAAAAATTATGTAATGTTTCTTAGGAATGATGACTGAGGTCAGGGATCCGGGTTTTCCATTCACTGTAGAAAAAGGTGGATTTTCTCCTTTAACAGAGAAAAAAACATGGGAAACTGGGGGTCTCCCCTTGCAGGCTGGCAGTGTTACAGCCTGCAAGGAGCTGCTTGGGGTTGGGGGGAGCAGGGAGGGCGATTGGAGGTGGGGAGGTGCCAGGTACATGTGCACGTGCTTCCCCACCACATCACCTGCCCACCCCCCACACATTGCCTGTGCCCACCTCCCTTCCCCACACACCCACCCTGTTTCCCACACACATGTCCATCATCTTAGAGCCCCTCCCCCCCAGCAAAAATAAAGGTTGGCACCTACGCCTCTTAGTTTCTCATCTCTAACAGGTTGAAGTTTACAAAAAGGAAGTAAGCGATTTGGAAGCCTCTGCTCAGCTGCTAGAAGAAGAAAATATATATATGATACAGATACTGTCTGACCGCAGACTGCAAAATCTTAGAATATCCAGGTAAAAATGGCTCCATGGAACTAGCCACAGAAAGATAGTTAAAAGACACTGGGGTAGGCATCTAAGCACCCCATTGTGGCAATGGGGACTTCAGAGGGTGGTTCAAAGAGCCCAGAAGGTGAGTGGGGAGCTGCCTGCAATTAGCTAATAGCACAAGGGTGTATATGAGCTCCTGCCTCTCTCCAGAGCTTTGGTGCCCGACTCATCCTGCTTCCATCCACTCAGGATCCACAGCACCCAGTTCTTTTTTTGAGGTAGATACCCAACTGACATGGTGGCTGTTGAGATGGGAGGCTTGGGTTCTGGGTCCCTGCTGCTAGTGTTATTTCTGTTTTTTGACTAATGGCTGTCTCATGTTGCGATTTGCAACTGAGGTGCTACAGAGTGCCACACAATGTTAGCACTGGTAGGTGTACAAAAATGATTCACAAGATGAAACCAGAGATTTCAAAAAGGAATCCATAGTGTTAAAAACATTCTGTCCTGTTGTGGTCTTCCTGGATTCTTTGCAACAGAAGAATTACTCTAGTATTTTTCTGTAGTTAAAGAAACAAGTAAGAACTAAGCTGGCATTTTCCAAGGGGTGCCTCAAGTCTAAAAAAAGTTGAGAACCACTGGTCTAATGTAAAATTCCTAAACAGGCCTTGGAGCAGGGACTGTAACCCAGGGCTTCCTCTGCTCCCAGCTGTGTTCTGACTGCTAGAGGCAGGTTCCCTTTTGCTTGGTGCAGTCCTGGTCCCATCACTCTTGCACTCTTGCACAATGGTTCAACTTCAACAGGAAGGGCGGCAGGTGTTCCCACCAGGCTAGGCTTTAACCTGGTGGTTAGAGCACTCACCTGGGAGACAGGTGTGGGTTTGAGTCATCTCTGGCTCAGGAAAGCCTAAAACTTAGGTCTCCAACTTCCTTTGCAAGTGCTGTGACCAGCAAGCTGTTGTGCACCACCTTCTTGATTTTAGCCACACAAGGGATGACAAGCTCTTTTTGTGTTAAGAGCCCTGGACTGCTTCTCAGTAAAGGCTGCCAGCTGTGGTTTGGATTGTGAAGTCATCTGAGACTAAACATTTGTTTTCTTTTGGTCTTATGGACAGACTTGAACAAAAGCCCTAAGGGAAAAAAAAGCAGTGCATTAGTCACTGATCTAGCTGGCTGTCTCCATTGCATTTTAAACCTCTACACTATTCTGAGTTTGTGGTTAAATGTCAAACAGTTTTTAGACTGTCTCTTCAGGAAGGACAGCGAGTCCCCAGTCTAGTTGCTAGATTAAAGTTCAGAACTCTTAATATGAATTTTCTGTTGTTTGTGTTTTAATTCCACAGGCCTTTATTTCTTACCCAGGGAGCGGGCCTGCAGGGTGAAGATGAACTGCTTAGTGCAAACTTGGAAGGACTAGCATGTGGAGAGCATTCAGGTACTACCCGTGCCAAAACTCCATAGAACATTATGAGTAATGAGGCATTACAGTGGTCTTTGCAATGTGAAGAATTTGCTGCAACAATAATCTCTTAATGTAACAAAATGCAGCACATATAGACATACCCAAGCTAGCTTTTTAAATTAGCTAGCTCAGGTACTGCTAGCAGCAGGCTACAGTAGTACAAAGCTCATCTTAGTTAGCAAATTCCACCCAAGAAGCAGGGTGTTATTTGGACAGTTGGCCAGGCTGCATTGCTAGTAGTGCCTGAGCTAGCTCACGTATGTCTACACCAACTGCTGTCACTGCAGCGCAGACATATCCTTGGCATGTGTCAACCATGGTGACAGTTGCACAGGAAACAAAACGTCTTAAATAGTAAATAAAAAACCCAGAAATCTGAACAATATCTCCCCTCTTTCCTTCCAAGTCTATAGTCAAATAGTCAAGTATTCAATTTAATCCAATGCTGTGTGTGAGTAAGAGAAAAAGTAAACCAAGAGAAACAGAGAAGCAGAAGAAATGAGTTATAATAAAAAAACCTGGAAATCATGAACACATTGAGTTATATAGCCAAATGCAGTGGAAGTTTTGGCCAGTCAGAGAAGGAAGTAGGCCCTAGAACACCTGCAGTCAGGCAAGTCAAGGTGGCCCCCTAGCACCACTTGCATTTTCCATTAGCCATCCATCTCCTGCTCTGGCTCCTTGGTGGAGCTCTCTCAGCAAAAGAAGAGAACAGCTCTCACTGGCTAGGTGACCCTCCAGGGAAACTAAATACTTTTCCAAGAAAAGGTACCAAATTAACCATCAGCTCAGGAGTTACTCAATTTTAGTGTATGATACAGATATGCTGTGTTCAGGGTAGCAGTACCTCAGTGGCTTGGCTCATAGGGCACTTTTACACGTGCTCGGGGGGTGGGGGGCAGTGCTTTAATTAGAGTGGCTCCAAGAGCTGCTCTAATTAAAGTGCTGGCTGCAGTGTCTCATGTATCAGCGTCCCTATGCTTCAAAATGGCAGCAGGATACTTGAACTAAAGCTTGTTTGACACGAGACACAGGAGTCTGCTGGAGTGCAGTAATTACTGATTAATTGAGTCTGCTCCAACGCACTATAATTACAGAACATTTGAGGAGCCTCTGTGCTTGTGCAAAGGGACTTGTAAGCTAGAACAGTGGAGGCCAACCTTGTTGGACAGTGTGCCCCAAATTAACCCTGCACCCTTTCCACATGCCACTATGATCCCTCTCTCCTATCCAGTCTGCTGCTCAGCTTTTGCTCCCTGCCCTAACTGCCACTGTGCTGCTTGTCCTCTCCCCAGTCTGCCATGTGCTACTTGTCGCACTCAGGCTGCAGGTTGGCCACCGTTGCACTATGGGATAGAACTAGTTCTTTTTTATTCATGATACATATTTTGGGGTCTCTAGCCACCCAAATGATAAAGATCATGTCCATTTATAAGTTCTAATTTTGACTTTTTCAAAGTATAACCCCTTACATATCATTGTACTTTTCTGTAAAGGAAAGAAAGATGATAGAAATGAATGTCCCAAGAGCATGGAACTCCATGGAGCATGGAGCATGGAGAAGGCAGCAATGTCAGATACCCAGTCCGAGATGGAAGACAGTTACGAGTTTCTGTGTGGAATACCAATGCCTCCGACTCTCGATAGCTTGTTGTACGAGGATGAAAAGGATTTCCAGGTATAGGTTTCAAAATCAGTGGGGCTTCTTTTATTCAGCATGACATTAGCATATTGTAATCAGGGAAGCAAACCACCATCAGGACTGGTTCAACTTTCAGTAGTTCAGTCTAAAGTGCTAATGGCTTACACCTTAGTGTTCACAGTATAAGCACCAAGGATGACTATCCCCACAATCACAGGTGCCAATGAAGAATTATCATGAAGTGAATAGCGCAGGCTCTCTTTTATCTGAGCCCCAGTCCTTTATGACTATCATGTGCATAATACAGCAGCTGCTGAAAGGAAAGCAAATGGTCAGCGTGCCTTTCCAGAACATGCTGCCTGAGAAGAAGCTTGTGCTACAGTTTTCCTTGTGAAGGGCTGAAGGAGGAAAGTGGATTCAGATGTATTTCAGCAGTTGGTTTTTATGAAGTGCAGAGAAGAGAAATCTTAGAGGGATGGCTCTCTCTCTCTTGACTCATGGTACCCTTCAGAAAATGCCAGCTTAGCTTTCACTCATTTCTTGACTGCAGAAAAATAATAGGGCAATTCTACTGCTGCAAAGATGCAGCGTAACAGGTCAGAAGGTTGATGCTATTATGCAGTCCTATTTTAATACATTAGACAAGTTTTCAAATGCAGTGCCTTCTTCTCCAGGCCTGAAGGAAAAGCAGGCATGGGCAGGGCTAAAAATAGTCTGCAGGGATGTGCTCTGTCTGTTAATCTTGTCCCCAGTATGAAGAAATGGGGTTGAGCACATAGTGGAAACAAGTGACCTCAGAACATTCCTGGCTGCATCATGGATTTCTTTTCCAAGCGGGAAACTGCCATGCAAGGTTCCAAGAACTGCTTCTGCTCAGCAAGAGATTATCTGTATGTTAGTGCAGAGAGATACTCTACCCAGGCCTGCAGGCACTTCATCTATAGCTGAGGCAGTACAACAGCATCAGCATCGTCTGACTGGGTTATAGAGTCAGAAGGGACTGCCACAGTCCTGTGCTAATGCAGCTCTACTGCTTCTGGCACAGAATCTAGCTTGGCCTGAGCTAGCTCAGGGCTCTTCTGCTGGCAGTCCACAGGTCACATATGGCTTGCAAGCTGCTACCTAACCGCGCTTCCCCTCCTTCCCCCTTGTTCCCACTGCAGTGAGGACAGGGTTTTCTGAGTTCCTTTCTCCAGCTTTTGGCCTCTGCTCCTGGGAGCAGGGCAGTGCAGTAGGGGAACTGGGCTGCCTGTACTGTGCACATGGCAGGGGCACCAGGGTGCCTCTGCTGTGCATGATGTGCACATGGCAAAGAAAGGAGCTAGGCTTTGCATGCTGTGCACATAGCAAGGGAGGTGCTGGGTTGTGCACATGGCAGCAGGCGAGGGAGCTACCCATACAACATGTTTCGCTGGGAAAAGAGGGTAAAGGGAAGAGCCAGGCTTCACTCACTGTACACACACCAAAGAAAAGGTTGGATAGTCCTGAGATAGCTCAAAGCATCTCTGTCTTTTGCCGTGTAGAAACACCCTAACAGACAAGCATAACTAAGTAGCAGGAGTCAGGGAGCTCAGATACAGCTGGTGCAGTCCCCAATATCTGGTCTCCACATGAAAGATATTCCTTAGCAATTTTGTTTTTCTCAGACTGTTCTACTGAAAAATGTTCAAAATGTAAGAAGGTGTTGGGTCAGGGCTGTAAGAGCAACACTTCCCAACAGCATAAGGGAAGTTTAGCCAAAAACAATTCCAAAAAGACTTTGCCAAGACTGTCAGGAGTGGTTCTACTCTGAAAAGCATAGGAAAGATGCCTGCTTGATAGACCTGTTTCTGTCAGAGCTTCATTGAGTCACCGAAGTGACAAAATAGATTTTTTTTGTTACTCCTGTCAGTCTTGCAGAGCACACACAGGGGAGAAGGCAATCCAGCAAGTTGCTTGTGCTTCATTAACTCTAGTTACGTTTCAAACTGTTACAGCTCCTTAAACCCACGGACACCAGTGGAGTTGCATGGGTGTAACTGCAGCCATCATTTAAATGGCTTTGCAGAAACAGCTTAACTGTGACCATGAAATCCCACAGCTGGACTCCACAGTCCCAGGCTGAGTCAACAAAGCTGGTGGTGTGAGGAAAAACCTCTTTACTTGTAAACCAAACACACTGATATGGAAATTATGGAGCCCCATAGTAGTATTTTGACAGAGCTGACTTGAAGGAAAACCAGTCATCTTATAAAACAACTCTGCCTCTTAGTATGCAGTTGCTGATGAAAAATAATATTCTCTCTCTTTAAGGAATACCTAAAATTGGGCCCACTGGAGATAAAACTGATGAGTGCTGTGGGAAAAGCAATGCCTATTCATTTGAAAGAGACTCCAAGCAAAAGCCACTTGGAAGGCTGTTTTGGTATCACTCAGCCAGAAAGTCACATCACATACCGGATGATCAAATCAGTGTTTAGTTGAGAGCAAAAAGGTACTGGTCAGTTAAATGCAGATGTTACAACTTCTGTTGCTTACGCAGAAATGTAAGACTCAGTTCATTCAGCCTTTGTTCCCTTTTCCAGGCAATCTGTAGCACAAGTTTTTAAGAAAAGGGCTTCTCCATGTGCCTATAGCATTAGATGCAATTATTAGAAGACTTAAACAGCTGGATGGGTTAAATAGGAGTGTCTAGATTGCTAATATAAAGACTGTTCTTGTTAGTACTGGAGACTGTGGGGCACAATTCTTGAGCATCTTAGACTCCCACTGAAGTAGATGCATACATAACTATAAGTCCAGGTCCAAATTCTGTGATCTCTCTTTAATGGAAAGAGACTGAACAGAAAACATCTTCTTTGTGTCAGCCTAAGTTTAAGTACTTACCACTTAGCTAATGCAGATCACTGTTGAGCATAATTCACACATAAATGGCTAAAATATTTAAACTTGAATGGTTATAACTTCTATGCACCAAAAAGTGCACCTGGATACTGAAAGTGACAGAAATTTAAATTAAAAAAAAAAAAAAAAAAATAACAAAACCAGCAAATGCACTTGAAAATGTAGATGCAGCCTTCAAGAGAAGGATTCTAAAAGTGAGGCATGCATACTGCTTTTACATACCATTGTCATGCACTTATCTATGTCAGTGCCTTTTTCTGACTCTAGGCATGCCCCAGCAGAGGTTTAGCCTCTTGCCCTTGACACTTGCAAGGCAAAATCCTGTTATTACTTCCACCCTTAGACCAAGAGTGAGATATGCTGCTTCAGACACCAACCACTTGATCAGGCTTGTGGCTCTTGCATTTCCTTCCTTCAGAAGCCTATGAGAGCAGTGACCAAATCATATTTAGTTACTGGCCAAAATATTATTGAAAAATGTTTGTACACTTCTAGTTTCTACCAGGAGAGCAACAATTCTCCTGGTAGAAGTATAATGCCTTCATTTTTGGTCTGTCCTTTGAGAACTGTTAAATCTTAGGTAAGATAGCTGGTACTGTGCAACAGTGATAATACTTGCACCCATCCAGCCCTGTATAATTTTAGGTAATTGAACAAAATGATTGTTCTAATTATAGACAGAAAGCAGAGTAGAATTTCACCCTACCTGACTTGAGATTAATATGGCTAACTACTTCCCTGTGCTGTAATTGTAGCTACTCTTGAGAGATGTGGGAGGAAAAATAAATATTCTTTCTTTCTGGTGGTTTTGCCTGGTGCTGAAAGGGGAGTGAGTTTGCCAGATGATTTGAGAGAGAAAAGCCGACCAGTTTCAAAGCTGCAGTATTGAGACTGTCACTGGAAATAATGTGGCTTATTTATGTTATTTCTCCATTTTGAGTTACTGCTGTGTTGAATATGGTCATTGTTTAGGACTGGATTTTCTCTTGGTTTTTGATAGATTCCTCTGTAGTTGGTGGTCAGAGTTAAGAGGCTTTTGGGTACTTTTTTACCCAATACATTTCCAAAAACTTTGTTTTTACTCATTTTATGTTTAATCATAAATTCTAATTCTATAGCTATTATTTGTTACCTCTGTGAAAGCTTGCATCTGCCACCTTTGGAATTGTGCTATATAGGGGTGCTGCTTCTTGAGCTCTCTCTGGACTAGTAGGAACCCAGTGGGAAGAAAGGAAGCCTTTCTCCTCACTGCTCTTGCCCTTTCCTTTCCAGAGTGAATCCTTCTGCCAGCTGGTACAGCTCTTTTTCCTCCCAGAACATCAACTTGACCTGTTCCTGACCATCTTAGCTATCCTCAGTCCATCTTTGCTATCCTCATCACAGCAATGGCAAGTTCAAACTCTGTGCTGAAGGCATAATACATGGAAACCACCAACAGACTACTAATAGTCCTCACCAAACATTTAATTCAAGACATCAACTCCTGGAATTAGGAAGAAACTACCAAGTCTGAGGAAGACCTACAGGCAAATTTAGTTCTGAAAATCCTCCTCCCTGTGCTCAACCAGTTCAAGCTTTCCAGAAAATAAAGTCGTACATGGAAACTGCAAATGTGTGGTTTAATTTTGGAGCAGTTAGCAGCTGCCATGAGGAAGTGAACCAGTCAGGGACACAATTCATCACTATGACTGCAATTTTGTGACAGCATGTCCATTAAACTAAATGGAGTATATACTACATCACCCCAGTCACAGCATGTGAATCCAGCTCTAAGTTTAGAACAGATAAACTTTGCTCTGGGGGTACAATTCTGCTTTTGGTGACCAGAAGCATAGCACCTACTCACCTTCTCCACTTGTGGTGGTTATTTGTTTATGCATATTAGCATAGTCACACTCACATTAGCAAGGAAAACTAATGTTACTTCCAACTTGTGTGCTTCAGAGAACCAGCACAGCTCTGGGATCAAGAGCTGTGTTCTATTCTCATTTATGAATTTTTACCATGATTGTGTAACCAATTGAAGTGTGTTATAGGGGATAAGGCATTTTTTCATCCCTTCTCCAGCTTTGCTGATAATCCCACAGAGCTGCATCCTTATTCATAGTTTCATAATTTCATAGTTTTAGGGTCGGAAGGGACCTAATAGATCTTCTAGCCCGACCCCCCACCAGGGCGGGAGAACAACAAAAAAAAAAACCCTAAAAACAAAAACGGGACTCAAATGAGTCCATCCTTGATCCGTTTCCCTTCTCACTCCACTTCTTCCTGTTTGCATAATCCCAATGATCAGTTACCATCTCTATATTTTGACACAGTTTAAGTATCCTCTGCATATTCCCTCCCGTTCATGGGATGCAGCTTCAAGAACAACTTGGACAATGGAACTCTCTTCTAGCAGTGCTTGCAGCAGTCAGACCTCCCCCGTCTCAGTTTTCATGGATGAGGGTGAACACAGACCACTTCAGGCCCTCCAGATCAGATCCATTGTTTTGTTATTTTAGTGCTGTAGGGCAGTAGTTCTCAACCTTTTGTGTACCAGGACCCATTTGTAAACATCAATGGCCAGTCCTGACTCAGTGGCCCTCACTCCTGCCCCCAGGCCACAGCTCCCCAGTGTGTTGGGCAGGGAGTGGGTGAGGGAGATAAGGGGGCCCCAAGCAGCCCCTTGCAGGCTGGAACTCTGCCAGCCTGCAAGGCAAAAGCCACGGTATCCCATGTTTTCTCCTTTAAAGGAAAATCAATTTTTAAAGATTTTGATCCATTTTTAAAGTTCTTTTGTGACCCTTTCATATGTTCGTGTTACCCACTTTTGGTTTTGCAACCCACTGGTTGGGAAATACCGCCTTAGGGGACTGTGGTTTGGCCTAGTTCAGTTTAGTAACACAAGAGTTACTTTGTAATGTAGCTTGAAGGCATAGGCATTTGCTTATTTGTAGAAGGCCTGAAGTTGGAGACATGTTTTTTACAAAGATGTACATGTCCTCTTTTGGTTTCCTGTCACTCAGCCACTCATCCTTGCCCTCTGAAGCATATTAGTAAGGGCCATTCTCCTTCCAGATGCTGTTTATGGCATCTTCATCCCACTAGCCTGCCAGACTGCTGCTCACTTCAAGTGTTTGGCCTCAAAGTCTTGCAAGTGCAATGAAGAAAATGATCTGATTTTTAAGGGGACAAGATGATAGGTAGTGTCAGCTCTGGCCACCACCAGGCCTAGGAAAGAGACCACAGCATTAAAAGCATTAATCTGTGCTTTGGGATCCAGGTCCAAGACAGCAGTGAGTCAGCCATTCAATCAGTCACTTGGAAGAGTCTAGGTATTTTGAAAAGTATCAAATGACAACTATGCCCAGAAAAAGAAAAGTACCTTTATTCAAAATCCTACATTGCCTTTGGCAACTTGCAAAAACCACATGATCTAGTTCTCCTTGTCAAATGATTTCAAAAAGTGCCAGCAAATTAAATCTTACACCACATATTCCTTGCTCTCATGAAGATTCTTAATTCATTAAAGCAGTGCAGCCCTCCATGAGAAAACAATCCTACTCCACACACTCAGAGGACTGAGCGAAAGTGGATGCAATGGACAAGAAAACCATTTCTTCACTACGTGCAGATCGCCAGGCAATGATGCTGTAACATCACTAATGGAATAAAATTTCTGTTTACAGGAACACTCCCTCAAGACTGATGTAGGTATTGGTAACTGAAAGCCAGTCAGTTGCCAAGCATGCAATTTAGTTTCTGCCAGTGTTTTAGATTTGCTAGCATGGTTATTTGCATGTTTTGTAACAAACTGCAGACATGAATTGTTAAGGTCTCTCCCTTCCTCTTGAAACTAAAAATCTAAAAGTAGAGGGCCTCCTTTACAGTTGGTTAGGTCGCTTACTAACAACGCAGGATCAGACAAAGGATGCAGGACCCATAGCAAGATCTTTGTCTCTTTCAGTCTCCCACGTCCACCACCCCTGAACCAATCCTTAGGCATTACAGATAGTTTTATCCTCTGTCGTCTTGCTATACTCGGAAGTACCATACTTGGCAGCGGCAACTTCTTTGCAAACTCAGTAGACGAACACACCATTCAACCCTTGAAGTATAGCAAGGCATCTTTCTGCATTGAATTCTCTCCCAAATACCACTCCCTCATGCCTCCCACTTTTTGGAAAGATGCTCATATTTAAGCAACTTAATTTCTTCATATTGGACAAACATTGTAGAAACAACAGGAAAAAAAGTGTCCAGTTCTAGTCCTAATGCATGGAGATGCATGTCTGGAATATGGCATCCAAGCAAGTTAAACAGTTATCACAAAATGGCATTTCCATTTGACTGTAGTGCTAACCTCTCCCTTGTAGGCTGCAAACCAATCTAGTAGTGAAACGTAAAAAATGTTTTTCCCCCCATTAGATCAAATCATGGCAAGCAGACTGGATGGATTTCTTCAGGCATTTTGCATACTTCTTTTTATACAGTCCTTGGCTGTTTTGCAACAGATACAACATTGCTAACTCACATTATTTGTGATTTACGACAAACCCCTAGACTCTTTCTTAGAGATGCTGGCTGGCCTGACTCTGAATTTGTGCAGTTGACAATGCCTACTTAAGTTCTGTACTTGACATCTATTTTTACAGAACTGCTCCTACTTCAGACCATTCTTACAAGCTGATAAACTCATTTCAAATTATAATTCCAGCCTCCAAAGTGCTTAATACCACCCCTTGTCCTTTCACCTTGGTATTATCTGCACAGAATACGTGTGTTCTCAAATCCCAGGGTCCAGATTGCTAATGAAAACACTCACTTCTACTGTATCCAGGACAGGCCCTGAAGATGCATCTTTCTAGTTTGCTAGTGAGCCATTAACTAGTCTGAATACAGCTTTCCAGCAAGCTGTGTAGCTAACTGTACAGTACTTTCCTATAGACCTGTGCTTCTCAACCAGGGAGTCATAGCACTCTGATACCATGAGATCCTTTTAAGGATGCCTTGAGGTACAAGGAGATAAGCAAATAATGGCAGGCTTAGGTTTGTCTCTGCCTAGTCAATCCCCTGCCTCCACTGTGCCCTGCTGCAAGGAAGAAAGTGCTGTAACATATACATCAGTTTTTAAAGTGGGTGCCACAATTCACAGAAGTTATGAAGGTGTGCCGAGGCCAAAAAGGCCGAGAACCACTGCTCTAGATCACATTTCCTTGGAAAATTAGAATCCTTAAGAAAGGAACCTTCATTTATAATAATAATAGGCTTATTTTGTCTGTCTGGAGCACTCCAATTGGCTGATGAGACAACCAATCAATCTTTACTGAAACAAGAGACACTATGGGTCAAACTACAAGGGGGGTGTGGCAAAAGGGACCTTACGGTGGGTATCTACTACAGACCACCCAACCAAGGGGAAGAGCTAGACCAGGACTTCTCCAGTCAGCTTATGGAGGCGGTTAAGTCAAGGGATGTTATTGTCATGGGTGACCTAAACTACCCAGACATTTGCTGGGAGGAGCAGACACCAGGTCTGACCGCTCGCGTAGGTCCCTGGCTGTATTACAGGACCTTCACCTTATCCAGGAAGTGCACAGCCCCACTAGGGGTAATGCCTTGCTGGTCCTGGCCACGGGGGATGACCTGGTGAGGGGACTGCAGGTCCTTGACCACTTGGGCAATAGCGATCATCACCTGCTGGATTTCATTATCCAACGCAGGGCATCTAGGGCTCACACCAAGGCTAAAGCCCTTGACTTCAGAAGGGCCAACTTCAATGAGCTTAGGAGACTAGTGGGGGAGGCACT